TCCTTCCTCGACCCCGAGATCAACACGCGGACCGACGCCTACGGCGGCTCGCTCGAGAACCGCATGCGCTTCCCCCTCGAGCTCACCGCGGCGGTGCGCGAGCGCGTCGGGCCGGACTTCCCGATCATCGTCCGCTTCAGCCACTGGTCGGTGGACGACTACACGAAGACCGTCTTCGCGGACGCGGGTGAGATCGAGCGCTTCTCCTTGGCGCTGCGCGACGCGGGCGCCGACGCGCTGCACCCCTCCACCCGCGACGCGACCGCGCCCGCCTTCGAGGGGTCGGACGAGACGATGGCGGGCATCACGAAGCGGGCCGCCGGCCTGCCCACGATCGCGGTGGGGCGCGTGACGACCTCGCGCACCTTCGGCGACGACAAGCCCCTGGAATCCACCGACCCCGCGCCGGCGATCGAGCTGATCGACCGCGGCGAGGCGGACCTCCTGGCCGTCGGTCGCTCCCTCATCGCGAACCCGGACTGGTGCGAGAAGGTGCGGGCGGGGCGGTGGCAGGCGCTCGAGGCGTTCGACGAGTCGATGCTCGGCACGCTGGAATAGCAGCCGCGAGCGGGAGCGAGCGGACCAACGGGCACCCGGATCCTCGCCCCGCCACCAATTCACTGCCTGAACCGCCCGTACGCCTCGCGGTCCTCCGCGGACAGCCCGAAGAGCCGGTCCGGCCCCGCGCTCGAATGGCACTTCATGCACGATTCGATCCTGCCGGATTCGATCACTGCGGAGCCGTCGTGCTCGACGATGCCGTACAGCCAGCCGTTGTCGGTTTCTTCGGGCGGGAGGGCCGTGTCCTTGTACATCACGAAGAGGTGTGACTGCTCGCCGAGGGTGTACGTCTGGCCGTCCGCACCATTGACGACCTGAATCGTGCTGTCGTGTGACGGTTGATCGATCTGCTTTGGCGACCACGATTCTTTCACGATCGAGAAGCCACTCGGGACCCCGCCGGAATCCGACCCTTGCTCGTTCACGGTGAAGTAGGCGCTCGCATCGTTGGTGTAGAGCTTGTAGAGCTTGCGCGCGTGGCCCGACCCGCCTTCGGCTCTGCTTTCCCGGGCGTCTGCGAGGCTCGCCGTCGGTATGCAGAGCGTCATCGCCCACGCCGGCATCGGGAGCACATTCATCCCCTGCTGGTACGTCGTCGCGATGCTCAGGAGGCGGGCGTTGACTGAAGTGTCGGGCAGGGGTTCACGCTGATCTGTGCAACCCGCGGTTGCGAGCATGAACGCGGCGCATAATCCTGACAATGCTGCTTGAGTCTTTCGCATGTGGGCGACCTCCCGTGTGGATTCTAGACGCTGAAATACTTCGCCTCCGGGTGGTGCACCACGATGCAGCTCGTGCTCTGTTCCGGGTCGATCTGCCAGTTCTCCGTCAGCTCGCAGCCGATCCGCTCGGGTTTCAGCAGGCGGAAGAGCTTCTCCTGGTCGCTCATCTCCGGGCAGGCGGGGTAGCCGAAGCTGTAGCGGGATCCGCGGTAGGTCTGCGTGAACAGCTCGCGGATGACGGGGGAGTCCTCGCCGCCGATGCTCAGCTCCTGGCGGATGCGCTTGTGCCAGAGCTCCGCCAGCGCCTCGGCTGTCTCGACGCCCAGGCCGTGGGCGTAGAGGTATTCGGTGTAGTCGTTCGCGTCGAAGAGTTCCTTGGCGATCTTCGATATCTCGGTCCCGACGGTGACGCAGTGCAGCGCGAGGACGTCTTTTTCGCCCGAGTCCACGCTCTTGAAGAAGTCCGAGATGCACAGGCGCTTGCGCTTGCCTTGACGCGGGAAGGTGAAGCGCTCGATCTCCTTGTCGTGATCGTTCGCGTCGTAGACGATGAGGTCCTCGCCGTCGGACTGCACGGGGTAGTAGCCGTAGACGACCTTGGGCGTGAGCGTGCTGGAGTACGCCTTCTTGAGGCGCTCGAAGAGGGGGCGGATCTCGTGCTCGAGCTGGGCCTCGTACTGCTCGGGCGACTTCTTGCCCTTCTTGAACTGCCACTGCCCGCGGAAGAGGGCGACCTCGTTGATGTACGGGTACACCTCTTCCACCTTGATGCCCTCGACGACGCGGTCGCCCCAGAAGGGCGCCGCCGGCACCGCGACGTCCGTCGCGACCTCGCTCTTCGGCTTCGCTTCGAGCACGGCGACGCCGGGAGCGCCGCTGGCTGAGGACGTTCCCGACGGCTCGCGATCGGCCTTCGCGTCGTCGATGACCTTCTGCGCGTCCGCGCGTTTCTGGAGGCGGGCGACGATCTCCTCGTCGATCGCCCCGAGGTTCTTCTCGCTCAGGCGGTCCATGAAGCGGAGGCCCTCGAAGGCGTCCTTGCCGTAGTAGGTCTTCGTGTAGATCCCGCGGAGGGTGTCCTCGGCGTAGTGGCGCGTGAGCGCGGCGCCGCCCAGGATGACGGGGATCCCGTGGCCCATTTCGGCCATCTGCGTGAGGTTGTCCTGCATGACGCCGACGGACTTCACGAGCAGCCCCGAGAGGCCGATGGCGTCCGGATTATGCTCCTCGGCCGCCTTGAGGATCGCGCTGAGGGGTTGCTTGATCCCGATGTTGACGACCTCGTAGCCGTTGTTGGAGAGGATGATGTCCACGAGGTTCTTGCCGATGTCGTGGACGTCGCCCTGCACGGTGGCGAGGAGCATCTTGCCCTTCGTGCGCGTCTCCGTCTTGTCCATGTGCGGCTCGAGGTAGGCGACGGCCTGTTTCATGACGGTGGCGCTCTGGAGGACGAAGGGGAGCTGCATCTCGCCCGCGCCGAAGAGCTCGCCGACGACCTTCATACCGGCGAGGAGGTGGTCGTTGATGATCTGGATGGGCGAGTATTTCCCCAGCGCCTCGTCGAGGGACGGCTCGAGGCCCCCCGTCTCGCCGTCGATGATGTGGCGCTGGAGGCGCTCTTCGAGCGGGAGGTCCTCGAGCTTTTCGCGCTCGTCGGCCTCGCCCTCCTCGCCGTCCGGGAAGAGCTCGATGAAGGCGGTGAGCGGGTCCTTCACTTTGTCGCGCCGGTCGTAGATCAGGTCCAGCGCGGCGTCCCACCGCTCGTCGTCGATGCGGTTCTTCGGCAGGATCTTGCTCGCGTGGACGATCGCGCCGGTGAGCCCCGCCTCGCGGCACTCGTGCATGAACACGGAGTTGAGCACGACGCGGGCCGCGGGCTTGAGGCCGAAGCTGACGTTGGAGAGCCCGATCATCGTCTGGCACTCGGGGAGTTCGGTCGCGATGCGGCGGATGCCCTCGACGGTCTCGAGCGCGAGGCGGCGGTCGTCCTCGTTGCCCGTGGTGATGGGCAGGACGAGGGGATCGAACATGAGGTCGCTCGGCGCGAGGCCGTATTTGTTCACCGCGAGGTCGTGGATGCGCTTCGCGATGGCGATCTTGCGGTCGGCGGTCTTGGCCATCGCCTCGACGGGGTCCTCGTCGATGGTGCCCGCGACCACGGCCGCGCCGTAGGTCTTCGCGAGCGCGCAGATCTCGGCGAGTTTCTCCTCGCCGTCCTCGAGGTTCATCGAGTTGATGATGCACTTGCCCGGCGCGTTCATGAGGCCCGCTTCGAGGACGGGGATCTCGGTCGAGTCGATCATGAGCGGCGCGGGGACCTGCTGGGCGAAGCGGGAGATGACCTCGGTCATGTCCTTCACGCCGTCGCGTCCGACGAAGTCGACGCAGACGTCCAGCACGTGCGAGCCGTCGCGGACGAGCTCCTTGCCCATCGAGACGATGCCGTCGAGGTCCTCCTCGTCGATCAAACGCTTGAACTTGCGCGAGCCGTTGGTGTTCGTCCGCTCGCCGACGATAAGCACGGACGAATCCTGGCGCATCTCGACGCTCGAATAGAGCGACGAGACGCCGTTGGGCCACGCCTCGGTCGCGCGCTCTTTCTTGTCGATGCCCTTCAGCGCCGTGGCCAGCTCGGCGATGTGCTCGGGCGTCGTCCCGCAGCAGCCGCCGACGACGGAGACACCGAACTTCTCGACGAACTCCGCCACCTGCTTCGCGAAGGGCGCTGGTTTGAGGGGGTAGTCCGTCTTGCCGTCGACGAGCACGGGCAGGCCGGCGTTGGGGACGACGGAGATGTGCCGGTCCCAGTATTTGCTGAGCCAGCGGACGTGCTGGGCCATCTCCGTCGGGCCCGTCGCGCAGTTCATCCCGAGCGAGGCGATGGGGTAGCGGCGCAGCGCCTGGGCCGCGGCACTCATCTCGGTGCCTAGGAGCATTGTGCCCGTCGTCTCGATGGTGACGCTCACCATGATGGGGATACGCGTCGGGTCGGTGCCCTTCTCGTCCATCGCCTTGAGGCAGGCGTTGACGGCGCACTTGATCTGCTGGATGTCCTGGCAGGTCTCGATGAGCAGCGCGTCCGCGCCGCCGTCGAGCAGGCCCCGCACCTGCTCGGCGTAGGACTCGAGCATGAGGGGCCACGTCGTGTTGCCGAGCGTGACGAGCTTGGTCCCCGGGCCCATGGAGCCGAGGACGAAGCGCGGCTTGTCGCTTGTTGCGTGCGCATCGCAGGCGGCGCGCGCGATCTCCGCGGCTTCCTTATTGAGCGCGTAGGTTTCCTCGACGAGGTCGAACTCCTCGAAGACGAGCTTGTTGGCGCCGAAGGTGTCCGTCTCGACGGCGTCCGCGCCGGCGCGGAGGAACGTCTCGTGGATCTCCTGGATCACCTCGGGGCGGGTGCGCACGAGGATCTCGGTGCAGTTCTCCTTGTCGAGGTAGTCGGTCTCGAGATCCAGGTCGCACCCGTGGATCGACGTGCCCATGGCGCCGTCGATGAGCAGGACGCGTTTGGTGAGTTCGTCGAGGAAGCGGCTCGTCATGTCGGGGCGTGTCTCCGGAAGGCGTTCGAAGGCGTGGGGTTCGTCCTCACACTATATCCATTGATCCGGATATATGGATGAATGTTGAAAGAATCGGCGTTCTCTTCCCAAAAACCTTGACGACCCGAATCGGTATCATCGCTTCCGCCGCTTCTGACTCGTGAGGGACCCGCCCAGAATGCCAACCGACGCCATCACCATCTCCGGTGTGACCAAGCGCTTCCGCGACAAGGTCGCCGTGAACAACCTGTCCCTCCGGGTGCCGACCGGCTCGGTGTGCGGCTTCCTGGGCCCGAACGGAGCGGGGAAGACGACGACCATCCGCATGGTCATGAGCATCTTCTACCCCGACGAGGGGAAGATCCGGGTGCTCGACAAGGCGTCGGCGATCGAATCCAAGAACCTGATCGGGTACCTCCCTGAGGAGCGCGGGGTGTACCGCAAGATGAAGGTCGGGGCCTTCCTGCGGTACGTCGCGAAGCTCAAGGGGGTGACCGGGTCGCACCTGGACGAGCGCATCAACGACTGGCTCGAGCGGGTCGACCTCCCGGGGGTGCAGAACAAGCGGTGCGAGGAGCTCTCCAAGGGCATGCAGCAGAAGGTGCAGTTCCTGGGGACGATCATCCACGACCCGGACCTGATCATCCTCGACGAGCCCTTCTCCGGGCTCGACCCGGTGAACGTCCGCCTCGTTCGCGGGCTCATCAACGACATGAAGAAGGCGGGCAAGACGATCATCTTCTCCACGCACGTGCTCCACCAGGCGGAGCTGCTCTGCGACCGGGTCTTCATGATCAACAAGGGCGAGAAGATCCTCGACGGCCCGATGGAAGAGATCCGCGAGCAGTTCAACCCGCGCACGATCATCGCCGAGCCGACCGCGCTCGATTCGTCGCACCACGCGGCCCTCGGCGCGATCCCGGGCGTCGATTCCGTCACCGACCGCAACGCCGACGGCTTCGCGCTGCACCTCAACGAGGGCGCGAACACCGACGAGGTGATGGCCGGGGCGCTCGCGGTGACCCCGATGCGCCGCCTCGAACTCCAGCGTGCCAGCCTCGAGGACATCTTCGTGAGCCTCGTGGACCTGGGCGATTCCGAAGACTCCGTCCGCGCCGAGCTCTCCGGCGCCCTGGCCGCGGGAGCCGCGTCATGAACATCGGCAAGGTCATCACCATCGCGATCCGCGAGTTCCTCGCGACCGCCGCGACGAAGGCGTTCATCTTCGGCACGCTCGCGCTGCCGGCGATCGGCGGGATCATGCTCCTGCTCAACGCCCTGGGCGCCTTCAAAACGAGCGATCCGAAAGCGGAAGGCACAATCCTCGTCGCGGACGGCACGGACACCGCGTTCGTCGCGAGCGGGCTCGAGGCGGCGTACTCGCCCGAGGCGATCCGAGCGGCCCGCGAGGCGGTGAAAGAGAAAACGGAAGAGATGCTCAAGAACATCCCCATCGGCGGGGAGAACGAGAAGGAGATGAGCGCCGAGGTCGTTGCGAACCAGGCGGTGCCCTCGGTGCACATCGAGCGGATCGCGCCGGGCGACGACTTTGAGGCCGCGAAGTCACGCGTGAAGGACAACGCGGACGACGCGTTCCTCCTATTCGTCGTGAGCGAGCGGTCCGTCGAGATCCCGCCGACCGATGCCGACCTCGACGGGTTGAGCGACGATGAGCAGAGCATCCTCAAAGCCCGCGGCGCGTTCGAGATCTACCAGAACCAGGACACGCGCCCGCAGATCGTTGAAAACGTGCGCCGGCAGGTGCAGGACCTGATCGTCAACGAGCGCATCGTCCGCGAGGGGCTGGACCCGGCGAGGATCAGCGAGCTCCGCCGGTTCCCCACCGTCGAGGCGCGCACGCTCACCGACGCGGGCGAGGCGGATTCGCAGAACAACCTCGCGCAGATCCTCCCGTTTGTCTTCTTCATGCTCCTCTGGATCTCCGTGATGTCCGGCGGGCAGTACCTGCTCATGTCCACCATCGAAGAGAAATCCACCCGCGTGATGGAAGTCCTGCTCTCCGCCATCTCCCCGCGCGAGCTGCTCGTCGGCAAGATCATCGGCCAGGGCGCGGTCGGGCTGCTCATCCTGCTCATCTACGGCGGGATGGGCGTCTTCGCCGCCGACCACTTCAACGTCCTCTCCCTCATCCCCGCCCGCCTTCTCCTGATGGCGCTCGTCTACTTCTTCATCGCCTACGCTTTCTTCGCCTCGCTCATGGCGGCCGCGGGCAGCGCGGTCTCGGACATCCGCGAGGCCTCGGCGCTCACGAGCCCGATCATGATGCTGCTCATGCTCCCGTTCTTCCTCTGGGTGCCGATCACCCAGAACCCGGAGGGGATCATCGCGGTCGTGACGAGCTTCATCCCCCCGCTCACCCCCTTCGTGATGGTCCTCCGCATGTGCCAGCCGGGCGTGGAGATCCCCATGTGGGAGCTCATCGCCACCACCGGCGTCGCCCTCCTGGGGGTGCTCATCATGGTGTACGCGGCCGTGAAGATCTTTCGAGTCGGCGTCCTGATGTACGGAAAACCGCCCTCTTTCGTGGGTCTGCTGAAGTGGATCCGGTACGCTTGACGATGCAGTGAATCCGCGGGATCGCCCCGCACGCGCGACCCGTTCACCCATCGTCGAAGGATCCGATCATGGAATGGTGGCAGGCGGTGATCCTCGGCCTCGTCGAGGGCGTCACCGAGTACCTCCCGATCTCGTCGACCGGGCACCTCATCCTCGCGTCCGCGTTCCTCGGCCTCGACGGCGAGAACATCTCCACGTCCGTCGACGCGTTCAACATCATCATCCAGGGCGGCGCCATCCTCGCCGTGCTCGCGCTGTACACGAGCCGCGTGCTCCAGATGATCCGCGGGATCTTCGGGCGCGACGTCGCCGGCCGCCGCCTCGCGTTCAACATCATCATCGCGTTCTTCCCCGCCGCGGTGCTCGGCGTGATGTTCAACGATTTCATCGAGTCCTCGCTGTTCAAGCCGGTCCCGGTGATCATCGCGCTCGCGCTGGGCGGCGTGTGGATGATCTGGATCGACCACCACAAGCTCAAGGCCCACCGCGACGAGTCGCCCGAGGAAGCGGTGACCGAGGGCAAGGGCATCGAGGAGCTCACCGCGCGCGGGGCGCTCGCCATCGGCCTCTTCCAGTGCGTCGCCATGTGGCCCGGCACCTCGCGCTCCATGATGACCATCGCCGGCGGCGCGCTCGTCGGCCTCAGGCCCAAGGACGCCGCGGAGTTCAGCTTCCTCCTCGGCCTGCCCACGCTCGGCGGGGCGTGCGTCTACAAGCTGGCGAAGAACCTTAAGGAATCGCACGACGCCGGCGCGGAGAACCTCTTCGAGCAGCTCGGCGTGATGCCGACGGTGCTCGGCATCGCCGTCGCGACCGTCTCCGCGATGCTCGCCGTGAAGTGGCTCGTCGCGTTCCTGACCAAGCACGGGCTCAGCGCGTTCGGGTACTACCGCATCGGCCTGGCGATGGTGCTGGGGGCGCTGATCCTGACCGGGATCGTGAGCTTCTGAATCAGAACTCGATCGTCGCGCCGAGCTCGTCCAGCGCCATCGCGTGGACGGCCTCCACCGCGTTGTCCATCGTCGAACGCTTCGTGAAGAGCCCGGCGGTCTGGTAGGCGCTGTCCGCGAGCAGGGCGAGGCCCTCGGCGATCGTGCCCCCGCCCGTGCCGAGCACGTCCAGCTCCTTGCCGACGACGGACGTCGCGTGCACGAGCAGCCCGTGCTCCACCGTCGCGAGGACGGTCCCGCGCGGGCGGATCATCGCCATGGTCATCTCAACACTTTCGTAGGTCCCCGCGCAGTCGATGACGACGTCCTGATCGGCGTGCAGACCCGGCTCGTCGGCGTGGCGGTGACGGATGCCCCACTTCTCGCACAGCGCGAGCCGCTCGTCCTTCCACGAGATGACGCGCACCTGCGCGTTGAGCCGGCTCATCACCTGCCCCATCACCAGCGCCTCGCGCGTGTCGCCCAGGATCGTGATGTACGGACGCCCGTCGATCCGCACCCGCTGCCCCGCGTGGCGCGCCAGCGCGAAGACCCGCGCACACAGCACCCGCTCGTCGTCCAACGCCTCGGGCGCCTTTACGAGCCCCTTGACCGGGATCTTCACCGCCTCCGCGAAGCACCCCTCCAGCCCGTCTTCCTCGCCCAAGTCCACCCGCTCGCGGCAGTGCGCCGAGAGGCCCTTCTTGCACAGCTCGCACGTGCGGCACGGGAACGAGGACTCGAACGTCACCCGCGTCCCCACGAGCGAGTCGTCGTCGCCCTCGCCGACGGAGGCCACGACGCCCACGCCCTCGCGCCCCATGGTCATCGGGTCGTCCGCGCGCATCTCCTTCGCGACGCGGACGTCGTCCAGGCACACCGAGGCGGTGCTCATCGTCACGATCGCGTAGCCGGGCTCGTCCGCCAGGGTCTCGACGTTCTCCACGCGGCAGGTGCCCTTGCGCCCGCCGACACGAACCGCTCGCATGCCCCTCGCGCTCATGGCGCCCCGTCGTCGTCGGTCGGCGCGGGGCGGGACGCGAGCCGCTCCATCCCCACGGGCGACGCCGGCTCCTCGTTGGGCACTTCGAGCCAGGGCACGATCGCTTCGAACATGTTGGGCTCGCGCTGGAACACCGGGTACTCGTACACCCCGCGACCGGCGAAGAGCTCACCGGAGCTGTTCACCCACGTGAGCCACGCCCGCGTGTTGAACCCCAGGTCCTGACCCGTGAGGATCCGGAGCGACCGCAGCGCCGCCCGGTTCACCGACAGCTCGTGGTCGGTCAGCGAATCGATCAGCTTGTCCACCACACGACGCTCGGCGTACTGCCCGAGGGCGACCGAGGCGTACTGGCGGACTTTCCAGTTCTCTTCCTGGCGGATGTCCGACGCGGCGAGCAGGGGCTGGATCGCCTCGGGCGCGTGGATCCGCTGCAGCGCCCGCGCCGCCTCCTCGCGGACGACGTCGTTGCCGTTCTTGAGCTGCTCGACGATGGCGGGGACGTCATCCGGCGTGCCGTGGAGGCTCAGCGCCCGGATCGCGACCGCGCGGACGCCGGCGTCCTCGTCGGCCATGTGCTCGCGGTAGAGGCGGAGGTAGACGTCCTCGCCGCCCCACGGGGCGTTCGCGAGCAGGAGCGTCCCGCGGACCCGCTCGTCGGGGTCCGCCGTGTTCGTCGCCATCTGCACCGCCTGCACGGGCGTGGGCCCGGAGAAGAGCGTCAGGATGGAATCGTTGGTCTCGGTGGATGTGTTCTGGGGGCCGGAAAAGTCGAGCATCGACCCCTGCTCGCACCCGCCCAGCGCGAGGAGAACCGCCAATCCACAATATTTGGCACACATGCCCATGGTCCGCGAGTATATCGTCACGATATGTCGCACCGCGCAAAAAGTTCCGTCCGCACCGCCCTCACCGGCCTCCTCGCCCTCGCGCTCCTGCAGGGCTGCTCCGGCCCGCCCCGCTCCGTCGGCGAGTTCGAGCCCGCCGTCATCGAGGAATCCGCACCGGGCGACGCGATCTCGATCGTCACCCTCTTCGAGGAGGGCGAGGCCGTCTTCGAGATCCTCCGGGGCGACGCCGCCGGCGAGACGCTCACCGTCGCGACCGTCCGGGACAACGACACCGTGACCATCACCCGCACGCTCGAGGACGGGACCGTCCTCAACGAGCAGACCGTCCGCCTCGAGGGCGACACCGCCACCGAGACCGAGTTCCGCAACGTCGAGCGCGACGTCATCGTCGACGTCGACCCCGATCAGACGCTCTGGCCCCTCGACGGCGAGACGCAGGAGATGGACATCCGCATCCGGCGGCTCGAGAACCCCGATTCCCTCAAGGAACGCGGGACCGCCACCGTCACCATGACCATCGCCTCGCTCGATCGCCTCACGCTCCCCATCGGGACGGTCGAGGCCGTGCGGGTGCGCATCGAGTTCAAGTCCGACCTGCGGGCCGCGAACGCCGAGCGCGTCACCGACCGCTGGTACACGAAGGACCGGGGCCTCGTCGCCGAGCGCTGGGACGAGACGGTCACCGCCTTCGGGCTGACCGTCGAGCAGAGCGCGCGGACGATCGTCCGCGTGGAGTAGGACGCGTCACTCGGACGCGTCGGTGACCCATCGCCCGGACTCTTCGGGCCCCTCGCCCGCCCCGCTCGCCTCGACGATCTGTTCGAGGAGTTCTTCCGTGAGCCTCGCGGGATGGCCCTGCCAGCGGACGATGCCGTCCGGCGACTGCACCCACGCGTAGGGGATGCCAGCGGGATTCGCGAATCGGAACAGGCGACGCTGCGGGTCGCTCCCGATCACGTAGCTCAGCCCGCGCGAGCGGACAAAGTTCGACACTTTCTGCGCCGATTCGTCGGACATCCCGACGATCACCACCGAGTCCCTGAAATCCTTCGCGAGCTTGTTCAGGTGCGGCATGTTCTTGATGCACGGCCCGCACCACGTCGCCCAGAACTCCACCACGATCACCTTGCCCTCGGTGTTCGGGATGCCCGTGTGCCACTTCTCGGCCGTGATATCCGGCGCTTTCTTGCCCTGGACGTTCGTCGCGCGCCCGACGTTCGGATTCGGCGCGGGGTACGCCGTCGCCTTCGCCCGCGTCGGGACCGCCTTCACCCGCGCGTCCCGCGCCGGGAGCGGCTTGGCGTTCGTCGTCGAGGCCGCCTCGCCGGCGAGTTCCGTCACGACCTCGCGGACGTGCGTGAGGTTGATCCCCGCGTGGCGGATCACGCCGGCGCGGTCCACCACGATCGTCGTCGGCGTCTCGTAGATCCCCACCTCGTCGCACCAGTGCCCGGAGTGGTCGATCAGCACCGGGATGTTCTTCATCTGCGTCCGCACGATGCGGCTCGCGGTCTCGGAGTTCTTCGGCGTGTGCACACCGACGATGGTCACCCCGTCCAGGTCCCTCGCCGTGCCCATCGCGGCGATGAGCCTGCGCATCGCCGCACGCGAGCGCGCGTTGCTCGTGTCGAACGATTGGAGCACGAGCACCTCGCCCTCGAAGCTCTCGAGCGACGCCTCCCCGCCCATCTCGTCCGGAACGATCCACTCCGTCTTGCCGGTTTCCGCGGGGAGGAGGTGGCCGACCGAAGAGACCAGGGCCGCGCGGGGGGCGCCGTCGATCGTCGGGTCCATGAGCGATTCGTCCGCCGCCGTCGCGGGCGAGCAGGCGATCGCCAGGGCGGCGAGGATCGGGGCGAGGCGTCGGGTCGTGGGTCTCATGGGGTTGGTCCTCGGTTCGGGTGATCGGTCGGGGCGGGGCCCGTCTAGCCTACGCACGGGGGCCGGATCGTTGAACCCTCCACGCGAGGATTCTGTTTCATCTCCCAGAATTCAACAGGAATCGGCCCACCCCCTCGAACCCGGACGCGGTCCCGGCTATCGTGGCAGTCTCATGACCACCACCCCGCACGAATCCCAGCCCGCGCAGAGCGACGAGGACGCCCGGCAAGCTCAACTTGTTGAGCGGCTCAAGTCCGGGGACGAGACCGCGATGGAGGACGTCCTCCGCGAGCTCGGCCCGCGCCTCCTCGCCACGGCCCGGCGCGTCGCCGGCAACGAGCACGACGCCCGCGACGCCTTCCAGGACGGCATCCTCAGCGCGTGGAAGAACATCGACTCCTTCCAGGGCGACTCGAAACTCTCCACGTGGCTCCACCGGATCGTGGTGAACGCCGCCCTCGCCCGCCTCCGCAAGAACAAGCGGTCCCCCCGCACCTCCCTCGACGGCCTGCTCCCCACCTTCGACGACTCCGGCCACCGGATTCTCGGACAGGCGGTCGGCCCGCGGGTCGACGAACGCCTCGAACGCGAGGAACTCCAGCGGATCGTCCGGGAAAAGATCGAAGAACTCCCCGAGGATTACCGAAACGTCGTCGTCCTTCGCGACATCGAACAGTTGGATACCAAGCAAACGGCCGATGTCCTTGGCATCAAGGAAGGCGCCGTCAAGACCCGTCTCCACCGGGCCCGCCAGGCACTGCGGTCACTGATGGAGGGGGAGGTGAACCTGTGAGCAACGTGAGCAAACCAACCTGCAAGGAGTGCATCGAGTTCATCGATGCCTACATCGACGGCAGCCTTGAGCCCGACCTCCGCGCCGAGTTCGAGGCCCACCTCGATAAGTGCCCCCCCTGCGTCGACTACGTCAAGAGCTACGAGCGTGCCGTCAAGAGCTGCAACGAGCTCCGAGGCGACGAGCCCACCCCCTGCTGCAAAATCCCCGAGGACCTCATCAAGGCGATCCTCGCGTCCAAGAAGGAAGCGGACGGCGGCTGAGCCGATCCCCCCGCCTCCCGGACTCCGGCCCCCAAAACCAGCAACGCCCCGGTCTCACGATCGGGGCGTTTTGTGTTGCATCCGGTCCGACTCTGAAAAGGCCGCGGTGGGATTCGAACCCACGAATGACGGATTTGCAATCCGTTCCCTTAGTCCACTTGGGTACGCGGCCGGGGACGGAACAGTATCCCCGCGCCGGTCGCCCGTGGCAAGCACCCGGGAACTTCGCGGGCCGAACCACCGATAACAGGAAAAAGGCCGCGCAACCGAGCGGCTTCGGGCGATTGAATCGCCGACCCGCTCGGGCCCCGCGGAGTCGTCACCGGATCGGGCCGATGCCCTGTGCATGCGGGAACGCGTGACCACATCCGCCTCGATCGGCCTCGCCTGCGTGTGCGCACTGCTCACCGGGTGCGCCACCGCCCCGCCGCCGCTCACCGAGGCGGCAGCGCCGCCGATCGAGCCGGTCTTCGCCGTCCGGACGCCGACACGCCTCTGGGTGGGCGACACGCTCGGCGTGCGCGTGCTGGCGTCGCGCGACCCGGTCCTCGCGATGGTCATCGCCCGGGGCCCGGACGCGAGCAACACGTTCACGATGAGCGCCGAAGACGCGCGGCTCTTCTACGCGACCGTGCCCGAGTTTGAGTGAGCCTCAGCCTCCGAGGCGCGACAGGACGTCCAGCACCTGCGCCTCGCTCACGCCGCCCGTCACCACGTGCAACGCGAGCAGGAGCGAGCGCGAGCGCTCGAATTCCGTCTCGGTCAGGCCCAGGTTGCCGAGACGATCGATCGCCTCGGCCAGCGCGGCGAAGCCGCTCGCGAGCGTTCCGTCCGTCTCGCTGACCCGGGCGACGCCGGCCGCGTCCGACCCGACGAACGCCGACGCGAGCCGCTCGCGGAACGCGGCCATGCCGGCCTCGTCCTCCTCGAAGACCATCACGACGTAGTCCACGAACGACCGCGCGTTGATCGCCCAGATGCGGTCGGCGGAGATCGCGCCGCCGTCGCGGTCGTCGTAGAGCAGGACGTCTTCCCACCGGTCGACGCCCGTCGCGACGAGGCGCGTCGGCACGCCGTAGCGCGCGAGCGTCGCGCGGTCGTAGCGGTTGAGCACCGGGCCGGTCGCGAAGTCGCGCGCCCGCTCCTCGATGATCCTCTCGTCGGTCAGCGGGTCCTGCCCGGAGGGGTCGGTCGTGACCGGGGCGATCGGTCCCCCGGCGCTCTGGATGAACAGGTCCAGCAGCACATCGTTCGACAGCTCGGCGAACGTCGCGCGGTCCAGCCGCAGGTCGCCGATCGAGATGCCGAAATCGATGGGCGTCACGCGGATCGGGCGGCCGTCGACGGTGATCGTCATCGGCTCCACGAGCGCCGCGAGGGAGGCGAAGGTCGGTCGGGGGCGCGCGTTCGTCGCGTTCGGGTCCGTCATCGTGCGCACGTCGCCGGTGATCAGCAGGAGCCCGCCGCTCGCGTAGCCCGTGCCCCGGTCGACCGGCGGCTCTTCGAGCTCCGCGATCGACGTCGGGTTCTCGATGCCGTCGCGCGGGGCGCTCGTGCGCACCGGCGCGTCGTCGCGCAGCAGCAGGAGCACCGAGCCGCCCGAGTTGATGATCAGGTCGTTCAGCGTGGAGATGTCCCCCACCGCCGCGAGCGTGCCGGTCTGGATGTCGATCGAGCCCAGCGCCGTGATCTTCTCGCCAAAACCGGTGATGAATCGGTCCGCGACGATCCGCGCCGCGCCCACGGCCTCCGCGCCCTCCGGCGTGATCGCGCCGACCGTGTGCGTCCCGTCCGCGTTGAGCGTGACGTCGCCGAAGACCACCGTTGCCACGCGCGGGACGCCGTCGCGCCGCGATTCGAGGACCGGGTCCTCGCTCGTGCCGCCGAGCACGGTCGTGTTCAGGATCAGGTCGCCGAACGCGCCGCTCGCGCCGGCGTCCCCGCCCAGCACGATGACCGGGATCTCGTCCATGCTCGCGACGCCGAGCGCGTTGACGAGGAGCGTGAGGTCGTTCGCCTCGCCCGCGGCGCTGTCGGCATCGCCCGCGATGACGATGCCCGGCCCGGAATGAGATCGGATGAACGAGTCGCCCTCGACGAGCAGGTCGCCGCCCAGGTTGATCGCGCCGCCGGTGACATCGATCGCCCCGTCGAGCGCCGCGTCGCCGTCGAGGCGGACGCCCGTGGCGGGCGTGCCGTCGCCGATCGCGCGGAGCGTGCCGCCGATCCGCGTCGTGCCCGCGCCGGTGGTGCGGATGAGCGAAAACTCGCGCCCGTCCGCGTCGCCCGCGCCCTGCGCGAAAAGGGTCTCGGGCGCGTTCACCGTCAGCGCGGTGCGGATCGGCGACGCCTCGTTACCAGTGCCGGAGAAGAGCCCGGCGTTGAACGCCACGGAGGTCCCCGCATCAAGCGAGATCGACGGCGCGAGGACCGTCGTCTCGCCGTTGAAGGCCATCGCGCCGGCGCTGACCGTGCCCACGTTCGCCCCGAAGAGCGTTGTCCCGTCCACGGCGAGCAATCCGAGATCCGTCACGTCCTGCGCGAAGCTCGCGTCGCCGTCGATCGCCAGGTCGCTCCCGTTCGTCGAGCTCGTCGCGCCCGCGAGGGTGACCGTCGCGCCGCTCAGCGTCGCGTCGCTCTGCACGCCGAGGTCGCCCAGGACACCGATCGCGCCGTTCCCGGCGTCGATGCCCGCGCCGGTGAGCGTGAGGTCGCCCGTCGTGACGTCCCCACCGGCGGTCGACACCGCGCCGCCGATGGTCGCCGGCGCGCCGAACGCCACGCCGCCCGCCACGTCGAACCCCGCGTTCAGGCCGATCGCCGAGGCGATCAGGTCCAGCGCCCCCGCGCTCACCCTCCCGCTCGCGCTCACCGGCCCGCTCAGGTCGGTCTCGACCGTCCCGCTCACGCTCACGCCGTCGAGCGAGAGAGACTGGCCGTTCACGAACGAGACATCCGCGAGGCCCGTCGCGTCAGCGACGCCCTCGAAGCCGCTCACCGTGCCCGCGAGGGCGAAGCTCCCGCCCCGTGCGTCCAGCGTGAGGCGCTCCGCGCCGCTCCCGGTCGTGCCGTCAATGTCCCCATCGATCTCCACGCCCGCGCCGCGGAGCGTGCCGCTCGCGTCCTGCCCCACGCGCACGTCGCTCGCGATCTCGAGCCCGCCCACGACCGCGAGCTCGCCCGCGAGAGTCGTCCGCCCGGTCGTTTCGAGCCGCACGGTGTTCGAGAAGTTCGCGATGTCCACGTCCGCGTCCGTCGCAGCGAAGAGATCCCCCGTCTGGCTCGCGCCGCCGACGACGAACCGCGCCGCTGTCACGCCGTCGAGGAGCGTGAGGTCGAGGTCCACGTCCGCCGAGGCGTCACTCAGCCCGAGCGTCTCCGCGCCGGTGCGCCCGCGGACGGTCACATCGCTGACGAGCGCGTCGCCCGTGAGCATCGTCCCCGCGTCGAACGCCAGCGTGCCGAACGCGAGCTCCGCGTCGCCCGCGCCGAAGGCGAGCGCCGCGCCGCTCAGGTCGAGCGCACCCGCGTTGAGAAAGACGCCGCCCGCGCCGGCCGTGGTATCGATGGTCCGGTTGGCCAGATTCGCGACGCTCGCGGATTCGAGCGCGAAGCCCGTCAGCGGCGCCGCCCCGCCGATGTTCCCGCCGAAGACCGCCGGCGCGTCCCCCGCGTTCAGCGCGAGGGAGAAGGGCCCGTCGACGGCGCCCGTGAAGGTGACGCGACCGCCGGCCGCGCCGCCGAACGTCGTGTCGACGCGCGAATCGCCGAGCAGCGTCGCCCCGATGCCCACGAAAGGCGCGAAGGGGTACCCGAAGAAGACCTCGCCCCCCGCCGTCTCGACCGTCCCGTCCAGCAGGATGCGGCCGGGCGTCGTCATGAACGTGAACCGGCCGTCGTCCAGCCCGCGGAGCGTGCCGTTGACGCGGACGAAGTGCGCCGGGTTCGGCGCGTTCGTGCGGAACTCCACGGGGTCCTCGAAGACGATCGTGCTCCCCGGCCCGCCGATCGTGACGCCCGAGGTGAACTGGTCGCCGAAGCGGATGAGCGAAAACCCGGGGCGGATCGCGTCCAGCTCGCTCTGCGGGAGCACGAGCCCGGGCACGTCGCCCGGGTTGAGACCGGGCACGCCCAGGAACAGCTCCGTGCCGCTCACCGGGAGGATCGTGAGCGTGCCCGACCCGCGGACGACGTCGTCCTGGTTCGGGCCCATGCCGAAGCTCATCGCCGAGGCGCGCAGGAAAATCTGCGAGCCCGCGGTCAGCGAGAAGGCGTTGATCGCGCCGGTGGTGTCCAGGTAGATCGTCCCCGCGTTCAGGTGACCGAGGTTGATGTCCCCCGTCCCGCCGAACACGATGATGATCGACGCCGGGATGTTCGGGTCCGGGAGCAGCTCCGGGATGATCCGGGGCGTCTCGAAGCCGATGGGCACCGGCGTCTCGCCGCCGTCGTCCGTCGACGCGACCTCGACCGAGCCCTCGATGACCGTCTCCCCCCGGTCGGCCTCGACGAGCACCCCGCCGCTCGCGCGCACGGAACTGTTGCGCGTCATGGCGATCGAGTAGACGTCGCCGACGGTGAACAGCGCGTCGCGCGCCTCGATCTCGCCGCCGTGCACGACGCCGACCGACCCCTCGCCCGGCGCGGGAGCCGAGGCGTCGACGCGCACCATCACCCGCCCGCCCGACTCGCCGAGGAAGACCTCGTCGCCCGCGCTGAGGGTCACGACGCCGTTGGGCGCCACGATCGAGCCGTAGTTCTCCGCCCGCTTGCCGATCAGGTGCACCGCGTCGCGCCCTGAGATCACGCCCCGGTTCACCACCGCGCCGTCGGACGCGGTGAAGCGGTCGACGCCCGCGATGAATTCCGCGTCCGTGATGTTGCCCGCCGCGGCATAAAGCTTGCCGACGTCCACAACACTCCCGCGACCGAAGACGATGCCCGCGGGGTTGACAAGGTAGAGCGAGCCGTTGGCGCTCAGCGCGCCGTTGATCTGGGAGGGGGTCCCGCTCAGGATGCGCCCGAGCACACGGGCGGACTCACCCGGCTGGACGAAGCGGACCGCCTCGTTCCGGGCGATATCGAAGCGGCCGAAGTTGATGATCGCCCCGTCGCTCGCCGTGATGCTCGTGAGCGCACCGTTCCGCGTGAGCTGTGCGCTGCCGCGGACGACGCGGTCCACGCGCACGCCCTCGCCGTTCCCCGCCGTTGCCGGAGCGCTGAGCGTCCCGCCCGCGAGGCACGCGAGCAGGGCCAGCGCGGCGCGCGCGCGGGGCGGGCGGTGTGCATCTCGACTCTTGAACATCAAGGGCATTCGTGTCCTGGGTCCGGAAACGGCGGGTCCTGCGCAACCCACGCTGATACCACAGTTTACCTCAGAAAACGAGCGTGAAAACCAGATGCAGCTCGTTGTCCCCCGAATCCACGCGATCGTCCGCGGTTTCCGCGTCCCGTAACGCCCAGGCCCAGTCCAGCCGCGCGCTGAACGTCCGCTTGATCGACAGCTCCACGCCCACACCCGCTCCGATAAGCGTCTCGTCGCCCTCGAACGGTAAAGCATCCACCGTCCCCACCCACCCGATGTCCACGAACGTGCGCAGCACCAGGTCCCAGTCCGTCAGCCCGCCGGCGTGCGCCGGTCGCCAGTAAAACTCGTCCCCGAACAGCTCGCCCGGGCCCTCGCCCTCGCCGTACGCCGTCAGCGCCCGCGGCAGGTGAAAACGGTACTCGGCGCTGGCGATCACGCTCCGGTCGCCGCTCGCGAACGCCTCGGGGTACCCTCGGACGGTGTAGAACCCGCCGACCACGTCCGTGAACCCCGGGGGGAGTCGGTCGTCGAACGAGACGCGCCCGCGCGCGCCGAACGCGATCTCGTGGACGCGCGACGCGCCCTCGCCGAGCAGCGCGTCGAGGTACGCGCTCCACGTCGCGTCGTAGACGAGCAGCGCGAAGTCCGCGTCCGTGTCGAAGCGCCCGAGCAGGTCGATGTCGCTCTCGTCCGTACCGCCCGCGGACGCCCAGTTGAACTCCAGCGCGAGCGAGGCGTCCAGGCTCCACGCGTCCGTCCGCTGCTCGAACCGGACGCCGACGGTCGGGATGAGGAACGTGTTGTCCGTCTCGATGCCGATGTTGTTCTCCACCTCGTGGTACTCGAACCGCGCCCCGGCGAAAAGGTCGACGAACGCCGGGCCGCGCTGGTAGACGTTCCACGCCACCTCCGCGCCGGCGCTCGCGGTCTCGCCCCGGAAGTCCACGAGCAGCACGCCCAGCTCGGAGGCGTCGTATCGAGAGTACAGCGCGTCGACCCGCCCGCGGACGCGCCCGGCGCTGTCGAGCGGCGCCTCGTAGCTGCCGATCGCCGCGTGCACGCCCTCGAACGAGCCCGTGACGTAGTCGAGCGTGAGGATGTCGTCGCTGTTCGTGAGGTTGAAGTGCGTGAGCCCGAAACGCTCGCGCCACTCGGAGGTCTCCTCCGTGCCCGTGTTCGACGCCTGCGCGTACAGCAGCAGCGGCGCGGACTCCGTCAGCAACAGGTCCAGCGTCAGGTCGCCCTCGTTGCCGGACCGCGGGCCGGGCGAGAGCGCGATGTCCGCACGCCGGTTCGGGTGCCGGCTCAATTGGTGCGCGAAGCCGTCGAGCGTCGCGAGGTCCACCAGACTCCCCGGCTCGTCCCCGCTCGACGCCCGCGCCGGCACCCGCGCGCGCAGGCGCTCCGCCCGCGGATCGTTCACCACAGCCTCGTCCCCCTCGCGCCGCAGCAGCGACCGCACCTCGCCCACGCGCCCCTCGAGGAACGACAGCTCCAACCGCCCCTCCGCGAGCGCCGCCTCATCGACCGTGACCAGGATCCCCCGGTACCCCTTGGCCGCGTACGCCGCGGGCACCGCCTCCAGCGCCGCGCGGACCGCGCCAGCGCTCAGGCGCTCGCCCCCGAGATCCGCGATCGTCACCACGACGGGCTCCGCGTCCCCGTCGCCCTCCCCCGCCTCGCCCGGCGCGACCAGCGCGCCGCCCTCGCCCCCGACGCGCACGAGCAGCACGCGCAGGCCGAGCACGTCCTCGCGCGTCAGCGCCTCACCGCTCAGGCCCTCGAACGGCCCGATCGTCTCGATCTCGTAGGTTCCCCCCCGGTCCTGGGCGCGGGCGCCCGCGCACACCGCGGCCGCGAACACGCACATCAGAACGAATCGGCGCACGTCGAGTCCTTTCTCCGCGCGAGTGAGGGAAATCGCCACGTCCCCTTCAAAGGTATCGGTTTTTGCGCCGACGCGGTCCACACGCCGGACTCGGGTACACTGGCCACCCACTCGCGGCACCCGAGACGAGGAGCGATCGACATGGGCGGATTCCAGACCAGCGCGACCATCGACGCGCCGAAGCAGGCCGTCTTCGACGTCATCACCGACCTCGGCAACGCGCCCAAGCTCTCGCCCAGCGTCACCGGCATCGAGCCCCTCACCGAGGGCCCGATGCGCGAGGGCTACGCCTTCCGCGAGACCCGCAAGATGGGCAAGCGCGACGCGACCGCGGATATCCGCATCACCGCGTACGACCCGCCGAACGCCTACGCCGCGTCGTCGGACTACAAGGGCTCGACCTTCACCTACACCTACACGCTCGCCGACGCGCCGGGCGGCGGCACCGAGCTGACGCTCACCTGCACCGCGACGCTCAAGGGCGTGCTCACGAAGCTCATGGCCCCGATGATCTTCGCCGCGATGAAGAAGCTCGACGGCGACCACCCCGAGCGCGTCAAGGCCCTCGTGGAAGCCGGCGCATGAACGGACCCTCCCGGGAGACCCCCCGCGCCAGCGCGTCGTTCGAGCACGTCGTCCGCCAGAGCGAGATCTACCGGGCGTGGTGCATCATCGGCATCGCCGTCGGCGCGCTCGCGCTCGTCACGCTCCGGAACATCTTCACCACCGGGATCTCGAGCCGGGACCTCCCCTGGATCGCCGTCGTCGCCATCGTCGTCACCATCGTCTACGAGCTCGCCTGCATCGCCTACGTCACGAGCCGCGCACGCCGCGACAAGCCCGTCTCCCGCGCCCTGCCCTACGAGAACGCCGTCGTCGAGAGCGCCATCCCCACCATCACCATCGCCCTCCTCTGGCGCCACAACGTCCTCCCCACCGACGAGGCCCTCGCCTCGCCCGCCATGTTCATCTACACCGCCTTCGTCATGCTCTCCGTCCTCCACCTCTCCCCGAGGCTCTCGCTCATCTCGGGCGTCCTCTGCGCCGCCCAGCACGCCACGCTCTTGACCTACGCCGTGATGACCGACCAGCTCGACCCCGCGCTCGGCGTGCTCTCGGAGGTCTTCCTCTACTCCATGAGCGGAGGCATCCTCCTCAACGGCCTCGCCGCGTCCTTCGTCGCGCGCCGCGTCGCGGCCCACGTCCACACCCAGCTCGACGAGACCGAGCAGCGCGAGGGCATGGAGCAGGAGATGGACATCGCCTCCCGCGTCCAGCGCAACCTCCTGCCCACCGAGCAGCCCGAGATCGCGGGCTACCACGTCGCCGGCTGGAACCGCCCCGCCGACCAGACCGGCGGCGACTACTACGACTGGCAGCCCCTCCCCGACGGCGCCGTCGCCATGTCCGTCGCCGACGTCACCGGACACGGGCTCGGGCCCGCCCTCGTCACCGCCTTCTGCCGAGCCTACGCCCGGGCCACCGTCCACCCGGACCTCGGCCTGCACGACGTCGTCACCCGCATCAACAGCCTGCTCTCCGCCGACCTCCCGCCGGACCGCTTCGTCACCTTTGTCATCGCCCTGCTCACCCCCGGCTCCGGCGACGTCCGCATGGTCAGCGCCGGCCACGGCCCCATCCTCATTTACCGCCACGCCAGCGGGACCGTCGAGACCCGCAGCGCCGACGGCCTCCCCCTGGGCGTCCTCCCCGACACCGTCTTCAACGAGATCGACCCCATCACACTCGCCCCCAGCGACGCCCTCGTCTTCGTCACCGACGGCTTCTTCGAATGGGCCAACACCGAGGGCGAGCAGTTCGGTGTCGAGCGGCTCAAGGCCTCCGTCGCCGCGGCCGCCAAACGCTCGAAGGACTCCGCCACGCTCATCGCGAGCGTCCGGCGCGACGTCGAACACTTCACCCGAGACACCGACCAGCCCGACGACCTGACGATCGTGATCGCCCGGCGCACGGAGAACGAACCATGACGCACGCCACCCACCTGAGCTGGGACGACATCCCCCTCGAGACCCCCATGCCCCGCATCGACCGCCGGCGCGTGATCGGCGTGCACATGATGCTCGCGAAACTCACGCTCCACCCGGGGTTCAGCGTCGAGGTGCACCACCACGTCAACGAGCAGATCGTCCTCTGCCTCGAGGGCGAGGCGATCTTCACGCTCGTCGAAGACGGCGTCGAACGCGAGGTGACCGTCCGGTCCGGAGAGGTGCTCTCCATCCCGCCGAACGTCCCCCACGCCGCGCGCACCGAGACCGGCGCGCAGCTCATCGACTGCTTCTCGCCGGTCACCGAAAAGACCGGCATCGACCAGTAAACGCGGTCAGTTCTTCCGTGTGAACGTGATCTTCACCACCGTGTTGTCGTCGGACCCCACGTGCAGGTCGCGCACGTCCATCTCGTAGGTGTCCGCGTCGATGAGACGGAAGACGTACGCCACCACGCGGTCGCGGATGTCGAGCTGCGGCTCGTCCATCTTGCCGTAGAACGCGATCTCGCTCCCGTCGCGGTTCGAGTGCCCCTCGAGGAAACGCATCGCCGTCGTCCCCGAGTCCATCCACATCGACTGGTACCGGCCCGAGACGTTGTCGTGGCCGATGTACCCCTCGCCCGTCATGTCGACACCCATCATCGGCGTCGTCCACTCCATGTGCACGAAACGCCCGCCGATCACCATCTCGGCGCTCGCCGTGCCCTCCGTGACCATCGGCGGCTGGTTCTTGTCCACCCACATCGTCGTCTCCGTCGTCCACTCGCCCGTGAAGTACGTCAGCAGCTCGTGGTGATCCCCCGGCGCGTTCATCGCCTGCCACTCCGCCATCATCGCCGCCATCGCCTCCGGGTCCGACGCGAGCTCCTCGGGCGACATCCCGCTCGGCATGCTGAACGCCGGCGCGAACTTCTCCGGCAGATGACCGTCCAGCACCGCCCCGCACACGCCAGCCACGCCAAGAGCGCACAGGCCCGCAACAACCTTGGTCCCACTGTTCATCGCGATTTCCTTTCAGAGTGAGGAACGGATCGATCACACCCCGCGGCCTCCTCAGGTTAGTAAATCATCTCCGGCGGGATCGTTTTCACGCGGTAGCACCGCCTTTTCAACGCTATGACGCCGGGTTTGAACGCGCCGTCGGCCGTGACGTTCTCCACGATCTTCGGGATGAGCCGCTTGACCATCCGCCCCCACCCGCTGCTCATCATGAAGCGGTAGATCCACGGGATGTTCTCGATCCCCCGGTGCTCGAAGACGAGCCGCGTCCCGCCGTTCTCGGGGATCAGCTCCCACGAGATCACCATCGGCCCGTGCGGCTCGCGCGACTCGTCCGCCCAGACGATCTGCCAGGAGTACACGAGCTTCCGGGGCGGCTCGCACTCGAGCACCTCGCACTCGGTCACGCCCGTCAGCTTCTTCATCAGGGGCATCGTGTCCACCTGGAAGCGGAACTTCGCGCCCACCTCCGCGCGAAAGTTGTTGGGCATGAGCCACTCCGCGATCGCGCGCGGGTCCGTGATCGCCACCCACACCCGCTCCGGCGAGTGCGGGTAGAAGTGCTCCTTGCGCACCACCCCGCGCATCGTCGCGTCGGCGCTCGACATCATCATCGTTCGTGCTCCTCATCCAGATACCGCCCGAGCGCGTCGAGCTTCGAGTCCCAGAACCGATCGAAATACCGAACCCACTGCCCCAGCTTTTTGAATTCGCGCTCCGACAACCGGTACACGCGCCGACGCCCGTCGCGCTCCGCCTCCACGAGCCCCGCCTCGCGCAGCACGCGCAGCTGCTTCGACACCGCGGGCTGCGAGATGTCGAACTGCTCGACCAGCTCCCCCACACTCGCGCCCTCACCGCGAACCTGCGCCTCGCCGATGAGCGAGAGCAGCCGCCGACGCGTCGGGTCCGCGATCGCGCCGAAAAGGTCGTTGTCCGGATCAGTCCGAGCCATGGGTTCAATATATAGCCAATTGGTTATATGTCAAGCGATCCCCGAAAAAGCCGCGAACCCGCGAAAAACGCCCGTCGTACCCACCCCCGATGCCCCGCCCCCTCCGCCTCCGCCCGCTCGTCCCGTGGCTCTTCGCCTGGCTCGCCCTCACCGCACTCGCCATCGCCCTCCACCTCGCCGTCACGACGAACACCCTCACCTGGCTCCCCGCCCGACTGCTCAACAACGGCGTGATGCTCCTCACCCTCCCCGGATGGGCGGCGATGCGCCTCTCGCGCCTCGCCATCGGCACGCCGCACGCACCCCTCCTCGCCATCGCGCTCGGCGTCGCGGGGATCGTCGTCGCGCTGATGATCGCGTTCCGCGTGCGCAAGATCGCCGTGACGTCCAAAGCGCCGGACAAGCCCGACGCGAGCCGGCGGCGCTTCCTCGTCAACGCCGCGAGCGCCGCCGTCGTCCTCCCCCCCTCGGCCGTCGCGGTCGCGGGCGTCGCGAGCGAGCCCTTCGACCTGCGCGTCGTCCGACACCGCCTCACCCTCCGCGGCTTCGGCGCAAATATCGGCCAATTGAAGATCGTCAACGTCACCGACACCCACCTCGGCACCCGCGTCCCCGCGTCGTTCGTCCGGCGCGCGTACGCCCTCGCGATCGCGCAGAACCCGGACATCGCGGTAATGACGGGCGACTTCCTCTACAACGACGCCTCGCGCATTGAAGAATCGGCGCGGCTCGCCAGACCCTTCATCGAGTGCGCCCGCCTCGGCGCGTTCGCCGTGCTCGGGAACCACGACCACTGGGTCGACGGCCCCGCGCTGGCCGAGGCGCTGCGGGGCGTCGGTGCAGACGTCATCGACAACCGGCAGCGCCTGATCGCCCTCCCCGGCTCGCGCCCCCTCCGCATCGCCGGCCTGGGCGACCTCTCGACCGACCAGACCCTCGCCGCCGATGCCCTCCTCGGCCCGAGCCGCGACGCGCCCACGATCCTCCTCGCCCACCAGCCCGACACCGCCGAGCACGAAGAGGTGCTCCGCGCCGTAAACGCCGGCGCACGAATCGACGCCATGCTCTGCGGCCACACCCACGGCGGCCAGGTCCGCGTCCCCTTCGTGGGCACGCCGATGATCCCCTCGCGCTACGGGCAGAAGTACGCGCAGGGCATGATCAACGGCCCGACCTTCCCCGTCATCGTGAGCGCGGGCGTGGGGATGTCCATCCTGCCGGTGCGCTGGGGCGTCCCGCCGGAGGTCACGGTGCTGACGGTCGATTGCCGGGCGTGAGCGCTCCGGCTCAGTCTTCCTTCACCAGCGTCACCACCCGCTGCGGGAACGGAATCCCGATGCCCGCCTTGTCCAGTTCCACTTTGACCGCCCGCGTCAGCTCCTGCTTCTTCGGCCAGAAGTCCTCGGCGTTCAACCAGATGCGCACCGACCAGTTGATGCTCGAATCGCCCAGGTCCTGGAGCACCACCGCCGGGTCGCGTCCCTCGACCTGGCCCGGCACGCTCGCGATCGCCTTCTCGAGCACCTCGCGCACTGTGTCCAGGTCCGCGTCGTAGTCCGTCCCCACCGAGACGTCCGCACGCCGCACCGGGTGGTGCGAGATGTTCTCGATCGTCGCGCCGAAGACGGAGCTGTTCGGGATGATGATCCGCCGGTTGTCGAACGTGTCCATCTCCGTCACGAACAGGCCGATCTCGTCGATCGTCCCCGTCTGGCCCGCGACGCTCACCACCTGCCCGACGTTGAACGGGCGGAAGAGCAGCAGCATCACGCCCGCCGCGAGGTTCGAGAGCGAGCCCTGGAACGCCAGGCCGATGGCCAGCGCCGCGCCGCCGATGATGGCGGCGAAGCTCGTCGTGTTCACGCCGAACACACCGAGGCACGCGATGAACGTCAGCAGCAGGATGCCCCACCGCGACGACTTCGCGAAGAACTTCGCGAGCGTCTCGTCCAGGCGGGACTTCTTCGTCGCCTTGTACACCACCGCCGAGACCCACCCCGCCACGATCGACGCCACCAGCAGGAGAACGATCACCCCCACGACCTTCGCCGCGAACGTCATGAGCACCGGCCCGTAGTCCGCCCAGAACTGCTCGAAGTCGCCCTCTTTGAGGGAGTCGAAGCTGATCGCGGGCTGCGAGGTGCCCGCGGGAGTGGCGGTGTTCGCGACAGTCGCGAGTGTGGTCGTGAAGTGGCTCAGCATGGGTGGATCTCCTGATTCCAGGGAAGGGCCACGATCCTACCGACCCCCCCGGCGCGTCGCACGCGCCGGTCCTCGCGTGAAACCCAGCGGGGACAATTCCTTACAAGCAGGAGCCCATCCCCCGCACCGAGCCCCACGAGGAGCGCAAACCATGAAAACCGCCCCCGGACGCCGAAACCCCGCGAGCCGATTCCTCCGCAACTGGGTCGTCCCCCTCCTCGTCGCCATCGCCGTGCTCACCCCGATCCGCAGCGCCATCGCGGACTGGAACGACGTCCCCTCCGGATCCATGGAGCCCACCATCCTCATCGGCGACCGCATCACGGTGAACAAGCTCGCCCACGGCCTGCGCGTGCCCTTCACGCACTCGTGGATCGCCCGCTGGGACACGCCGGCGCCGGGCGAGATCGTCACGTGCGCCTCGCCCGAGGACGGGACGCGCCTCGTCAAGCGCGTGATCGCCGTCCCGGGCGACACCGTCGCGATGGTCAACAACCGCCTCGTCCTCAACGGCGCCCCCGTCACGCTCACGCCGACCGGGCAATCCACCGAATACATCCAAGAGGTCGGCCGCCACTTCAACCTGCTCCACTTCGACGAGACCATCGGCGCCTCGACGCACGCGATCACCGTCGCGCCCGCGATCGCACGCTACGCCTCGTTCCCCGAGTTCACCGTGCCGGAGAGGCACATCGTCGTCATGGGCGACAACCGGAGCTTCTCGAAGGATTCGCGCGCGTTCGGCCTCGTGCCGATCTCGGAGGTCTACGGCCGCGCGACGCACGTCGCGATCTCCGTCGATCCGAGCAACAGCTACCTCCCGCGCCTGGCGCGGTTCTTCACCAAGCTGAACTGATCAAAGGACCGAGCCCGCTCACAGCCACTGATCGTGCGCGAACCCCTGGCGGGCCTTCTCGACCTCGTCCTCTTCCGCCACGAGGTAGAAGCGCCCGACGCGCGCATCGAAGACGGAATCGTCGTCGCGCACCATCAGGTACGACCCCTCCATCGTCCCCCACCGCGTCCCGAGGGGGCAGAAGCTGGTGTACTCGTGCGTCTCGCCCGGCTCGATGCGGGGCTGCACGCCGATGACGCCCTCCCCGCGCACCTCGTGCGTCTCGCCGTTCGCGTCCGCGATGCGCCAGTGGCGCTCCAGCAGCTGCACGGGCGCCTCGCCGTCGTTGGAAACGCGGATGAGGTACCCGAAGATGTAGCGCCCCTCGTCCGGGTTCGAGTGGTTGGGCAGGAAACAGGGCGACGCCTCGACGCGCACGCCTTCCGTCACGGTCAGCGACCCGTGGCCCGTATCCAGATTCATACCGGCGATGCTCATGGCCTTCTCCTCACGACTCCGGACGCCTGAGCGAGCGCCGGAGGTCGAAGGAAACTATACATGCCGCTTCGACGCCCTCAGAATCAAAATCAGCCTTTTCACACCGATTCGTTGAATTTCGACGCGCGAAAAGGCCCGACGCCGAAACTGGGCGAGCCTCAGCGACCCAGCCGACCGCGTACCCACGCCGCCATCGCCCGCGGGGCGTCCTCGTTGCTCGAGAAAAACAGCTCCGGCTCCACCAGCTCCATCTCGATCACCGACCACGAGTCGTTTTCACGAACCAGATCCACACGCCCGTACGCCACGTCCTCCGGCGCGCACGCCATCGCTTTCGATGACACGCCGAGCAGCTCATCCGTCAATGCCTCGTAATGCACCGTCCCGCCGAAGTCCGACTGCACCCGCACGTCCCCCGGCTTCGCCCGCTTCCGCACCGCGTGCGTCGCGCACGACGGATCCGCCCCGCCGATGAACATCACGGAAACCTCGCCGTCAACGGGCACCGACTCCACGAAACGCTGGCAGATGAGCCCCTCCCGCGTGAGCACGTCGCGTGCATATTCATCGGCATCATCGAACGCGCCCGCCTCGAACACCCGCAGCCCCCGTGCCGCGGCCCCGACGGTGGGCTTGATCGTGAACCGCTCATCGGGCGATATCCCGATCCGTGCGCACACCTCGCGCGCATCGAACGCGTCGCCCTTCTCGAACCACTCGCTCGCGATGACGGGCACGCCGGCGTCACACATCTCGCGGAGGTACGTCTTGTGCAGATTCCACAGCGCGACGGCGTGCGAGTTCACCAGGTCCGTGACCCCGCTCGCCCGCTCGCTCCACGCGAGGTACTCGTCGATGCGGTGCATGTAGTCCCAAGGCGTGCGGACGAGAGCGAGGCTCGCGCGCGACCAGTCGAACGACGCGTCGTCCCACGCGACGACCCGGTGCGTGAGCCCCGCTTCATCCAGCGCGACGAGGAGCGGGCGCTCCGTCTCGCAGAGGCTCGGCAGCTTGGCGCACGACACGATGGCGACGTCGATCGACTTCCCGGAATCGTTCATGCACGGATGGTACCGGCGCTCAGACGCGGATGAACCGCTTCGTGCGCCCGCCCGCCGAGATCGTTAGCGTGTCGCCCTCGAACACCACGCGCACGCTCTCGGCCCCCCCGGGGTGGAACACGTTCCCGCCCGTATGGAAGAGCGCCCGCGAGACGCCGCCTTCCGGTTCCAGCGCGACGGGCGAGAACCGGCCTTCATGCACGATCATCGCGGTGCCGCCCCCCCAAGCGTCCGGCAAATACCGCCCGAAGAGCGACTGCGCATCGTCTACGTCCACACGCGGGTACGTGTTGTCCGAGCCTTCGACCCCCTCCAGATACTCCGCCACCGCGGCCGAGGCGTCGCCGCCGACTTTCGCGTGGTGCATCATGGTAAACCCGTGCGGCCCGCGGGCCCTGGCGAGCGCCGGCGTCGCCTCGATGGCGGCGCGGACGACGTCCAGGTGCCCGAGCATCGCGTGCGTGAACAAAGTCGGGCGGGCGCCGTGGGCGATGAGCACCTCCGCGATCTCGCGCCGCCCCACGTGCGAGGCCGCGCCGATCGCCGACTCCACGTCCCCGAACCCCCAGTCCCACGCCGCCTTCGCCAGCTCCGGCTGCCGCTCCACGGCCTCTTTCACCCCGTCCAGATTGAAGTGCGACATCCCGACGACCCCACGCACGAGTTCCGGGTCCATCTGGACGGACCAGTCCGATTCGGCCTGTTCACCTCCCGCGGGCTGGGACGCGGAGGCGACAAGCGGTGCCGACGCGGCGAGGGCGGAGGAGGCGAGGAAGGTGCGGCGGGTGAGGGTGGGCATGGGGCGTATACTCGGACTGGTCGTCGTATTCTGTATCAAGTCCCAAAGGACCGTTCTGCTCAACGCTGAGCATGCGCATTGGGACTGATTGTCGTGAGCAACTCAATGCACCAACTCAGCTTCGAAGATCTCGATTCTCCGTCACCATTGTCACTCCTGACACCAGACGAGATATACCAACAAGCAGACGAAGAGATGCTCCGCAAGCTGGTTGAAGACAACCGCTTTGAAAAAAAAGCCAATAGGTTCTCACAGCGTGAGCTTGGTGACTACATGAGCATGTGGGCAAATACTCGCCCACATGGCGGGATCATGGCAATTGGAATCAGAAACGACAAGGAATTTGAGGGAATGGATGCCATTGGCTTGGCAGCGGTATCCGAAATCGAAGCTGCTCCTGGCAGATACTGCCCTGATGCACAATTTGAAACCAAGAGAGTTCCCATACACCGGGACAGCGATGGCGAACTCGATTTCGTCATTCTCATCCGTGTTTTCTATCACCCATCTCGTGTAGTGCGAAATAGCAGCCAACAGGCCTTCATTCGCCTTGGAGACACAAAGAAAAGACTAAGCGAGGAAGAGATTCGTCAGCTGCAAGCCGAAAAAGGCGAGATCCGCTTCGAAACCGAACCTTCGCGGCTAAGCTACCCAAATCAATTTGATGCGAGTGCTATTTCAGCGTTTGTTGAAGACGTAAAAGGGTCACGGGGCCTTCAAAGCTATCACTCGAACGAAGAGATTTTGGAAATCATGCACCTCGGGTCAATCAATGAAGGGGTTTTTACGCCCAACATTGCTTGCGACTTGCTTTTTGCCAAAGATCCCGTCCTATCCGTCCCGGGCTGCCGCATTCGATTTCTTAGATTTGATGGCGAAGTTGAGGGCACTGGCGAAAAGTGGAATGCCGTTAAAGACGAATACGTAGAAGGCCCAATTCCATCCTTGATCATCAAGGCAGCCACTCTTTTAAAAAGCCAACTTCGCTCTTTTTCAAGACTGGACAAGAACGGCACTTTCGTTACTTCTCCCGAATATCCTGACGCCGCTTGGTATGAAGCAATTGTAAATGCTTGTGCTCACCGCTCGTATGGCAATGGCTTGGGCAACGCTGCAATCTGCATCCGCATGTTTGACGACAGACTTCAAATTGAAAGCCCAGGCCCATTTCCCCCATTTGTCGATCCTGAAAATATTCAGAACTCAGGGAGCAATCCGACTAATCCATTCTTGATGGAAGCACTCCGACATCTGAATTTTGTAAAAGCCGCTCGCGAAGGCACACGCCGTATGCTTGAAACCATGGCTGAAATGGGCCTGCCTTCCCCCGAATTTTCACAAGAAACAGAGTCTGGCAGCCGATGGGTCTATGTTGTTCTAAGAAACAATATCAAGCAACGCAAGGTGTGGGTAGACAAAGACGTCGCAAATCTGATTGGAGCACACTTTGCAGACCTCATGTCATCTGACCAGAAAAAAGTGCTGAACTACATTGCAGAGTATGGACAGATCACAGTGTCACAGGCTTCGCGGCTGATTGAGGCTCGCACATGGCATTCAGCAAAAAAATTACTACTCGAGCTAGTTGAAATGGGAATTCTTGAGCATATTCACCGGAGTGATATCGAAAGAGATCCCAAAGCGCACTTCATCCTCAAGCGCCCACGAAACCTGAAGCTTGAATGATCTAAATCGTCCGGCTCAGATCACCGAATCCTCTTTCCGAATCCCATGCGCCTCCGCCGTATTCAGCTGCACCACCACCTCCCCCTGCATCTTCTTCGCCTCGTCCGCGTCCACGTAGTCTGAGTGGCAGGACGCCTTGCCGTCGTCATCCGCTGACAGCTTCCCCTTCACCTTGTTCGCGAGCTTGTGGATCTCGTCCGGGCTCAGGACGCCGCGTTGCTCGAGGATGCGCTGCTGCTCTTCGGTCAGCGCGCCGGTCTTGACGGGCTTGCCTCGCTGGAAGGCCTCGTCCTTGCCCGACGCGAACTCCTGGATCTCCTTGCTGATGCGCACGGAGCACCAGTCGTGGCCGCACATGGCGCAGAAGTCCGTGTCCACGTCCAAGTCCTCGTCGTGGTACGCCCTCGCGGTGTCCGTGTCGTAGGCCAGCTCGAAGTGCTTCTCCCAGTGCAGCGCGGCGCGGGCCTTGGTGAGCGTGTCGTCCCAGTTGCGCGTGTGGGGGATGCCCAACGCGACGTCGGCCGCGTGGGCGGCGATCTTGTACGCGATGCACCCCTCCTTCACGTCGCCCTTCTTGGGCAGGCCGACGTGCTCCTTGGGCGTGACGTAGCAGAGCATCGCGGCGCCGTGGTACGCGGCGTTCGTCGCGCCGATGCAGCTTGTGATGTGGTCGTAGCCGGGGAAGACGTCCGTCACGAGCGGCCCGAGCACGTAGAACGGCGCGCCGTGGCAGAGGGTGCGCTG